GGTTATCTAAAGAACCCTTTATTTTCTCCCTAATAGATGCAGATTCCCCACCTGGTTACCTGACTGCTTCAGCTAGTCCTGACTCAGATGTGCCGGTGAGTTCAAAATCTATAATACCTGAATATAATGTTGAACACAAAACAAAATATTTTTATTTTAGTGAATTGAAAAGAGTGTCAAATATGAAGGGATGACATGTAAATTTACCTCTGTGATGTGAGTGTTTGAATAAATTTTTTAAAAAATTATTATTATTTATCATTAGTCCCCGGGTAAGGCATTCAGACCTAAGAATGAGGATGAACGCCAGCAGTACAAGGAACATAGGAGAGTGTCCCATATTTCAGCAGAACAAAAAAGACGGGGGAATATAAAGGTGAGGCATTCATGATTTGAAGATAACATTTTCCAATGGCATTTACTTATTTTCTGGAAAAAAATATCAGATATCGGGCATTTTATTGATTTTATAGCTTGTTCACAGCAAAAACTAACACTTGATCTGTTTTCTTTGTCTTTGTATTTGAGCAGGGTGGATTCGATGTCTTGCATACCCTTATTCCTGCACTCATACAGAACCCAAATGCTAAAATAAGCAAGGCACAGATGCTGCAGAAGAGTAAGTGTTAAATTTAGTCTTTGTATGAGTAGTTAAACTGACATTAGTTTTAAATCCAAATGCTTTGGGATATATACCATAAACTGGTTCACACTGATGCCACCAGGTGGCGAGGGTGGCATCTCACAGGAGAACCACATTTTAACAGAGTAGATGGCCAAGGAAAAATTAAGAGCAGCAATAACCTTAACATTCGGGTTAGCATTTTAACTCCTTATGTAAAATAGGCACATATATGGTTGTTGTTCAATAAAGATAAGCTTGAGACTTACACTGAAGACACAATTTCAGCTGCTGAGTACTGTAAAAAGTTGAAATCTGACAGAAAGCAGATGCAAGATGAGGCAGAAATCCTGAGGCAGGAAATTGAATCCCTCAACTCTGCTATCAAGTAAGGATTCCCATTTCAAATTGATTCATTTAAAGAACTGGTAAACTGCTGCATAAGGAAGTATTTGCAATTTTTCTTTAAAATAAGAATGAATGCTACTGATTGCAACCTCTCCGTCAACATAACATCAGCTTTCTTGTTAAATACTAAATTCATGATTGTCTATTCCTTTCTGTCAGTCCCATAAAGATGAACTTATTTGTTCAATTCCAGCACGTGCCAGTCCCAGCTACCAGCAACTGGAGCCCCCGTCACAAGGCAGAGAGCAGACCAGATGAGGGAAATGTTTGATGAATATGTGCGCAGTAGAACACTTCAGAACTGGAAATTTTGGATTGTATCCTTGGGAGTATTGTATTAAATTACTTCATTGTTATAATCTTAGAAATAAGCCTGTGCATATTCAGACATGTTGTTTAGTTTCTTTGCTGGCTGTTCTAGAATGTTTGTGTTAGGCCGAATGTCCTTCATGGTTAAGATATTAACACTAGAAGTAATATTTACACAAATTACTGACTAGTACTGTGATAAAATAAAGAAAATGAAAGTGCAGTTGTCTAATCTCTTATACCCTTAACCATAGTGTTCAGTTCAGTACAATAATCCGCCCATTGTTTGACTCCTACAATAACATGGTGTCCACAGCCAGTGCTGAGGAACTGTGTCGGACTGTGTTGGCTTGGCTCGACCAGCACTGTTCACTGGTAGCTCTCAGACCAGGTGGGTAGTCAAGAGAGCCAGTTATACAGAAATTTGTATTGAAGACAAAATTTTTCGTTAATGTTTTATTGGTTTAGTTGAAAATATCCTTTTTCACCATGAGTAATGCTTTTTAAAAATCAAATAGTGAAAGTCATTTTTAACTTTTTTGTATCAAATAAGGCTTGAAACTGCTATAACAAAATATTTCACTGCAAATTTACCTCTGCTGTGTATATCTCCTCAGGTGTTCTGAACTCATTGCGCCAGCTGAGTACATCAACATCCATACTGTCCGACCCCTCCCGTGTACCAGAGCAGGCACAAGCTGCAGTTGGCAAGAAACCAGGCTGAGACTCGTTCCATAAAGCTGGTACTTAAAACTGTTAAAAAGACAAAAGTGTCATCAGGAATGAAAAAGCTGAACCAAGCTTAGGCATGTTGATATAATGAAGGGGAAAGTATTATATTTCGGCGTCTCAGAGCTCTATAATGATTGAAATTGAAACAAGAAGATCATATAAAAGCTTTAATGTTATGAAGCAATAATGTATTGCCTGGCCAGAGATACTTGGGTGCTATTTGTGTACAAAGTTTTCATCATCGTTATCATTGGCTGTCACTCATTAAGAGTATTTCAACTGCAACATGGGGATGAGCCCAATGTGGGCAGCACAGGATCTTCCACGGTTGTGGCATGGAATTGATGTTGAGTGGTCCTGTCACTGTCAGCAGTAGACCCATGTACTTCACTGTTACTGTATTGAACTGTTTCTCTCTCTCTCTCTCTCTCTCTCTCTAAACATTGTTCAATAGCCCAGATAGAACAGTTTTTAACTTCTTTCTCCCAGGAATTGATAAAATTGGCAGTTGACAAGTGGCATATAATGCAGTCTTTGTAGCAAAGCATTGGCCGTCAGACCTTTCTTTTTCTTGCTGTAGTTCATCATAGAAGACAGCTTTAAGGAATCTGGAGTCATCCATACAAATAATGTGACCTGTCCGGCGGAGTTGATATGTGGTCAGCAGAACTTTAACACTTGGCAAGTTAGCATGTTTTCTGACTTCCACGTTGGTGTTAAGCATTTGTCTCAGATGGCCATGTGAACACTTTTAGAGTTTTCACATGCACTGTCTGTAGAGTGTGTTAGTTTTTGACAAGTGGAGAAGACAAGTGAGTTCTACAGCATGGCAGACCTTGCATTTTGATTATAGAGAGGGTCGTTTCTGCACAGTGGTTTAGAGTTTGCCAAATGCTGTAGCAACAGAACTGATTCTTCGCTCAATTTCAAAATAAACCATTGAGAATTTACATATTTATTTCAAACTTATTCTTGTGAATTGGGTGTTCTATTGCATGGAATTTTGTAGATAGAACATCTGCCTCACTTAATGCCTGATTATATATTTATTATGGTACAATATACAAAAAGGCGGAAAAATGATACATAAGGTTAAATTTTTGTTATTGTTTATTATAATTTTTAGTATGAATATATATTATATACACTTTGTTATTGCTTTGATAAAGTGCTTATGGCACTGCAAATGTGGATATGGGCATTGATCTCCATGAAAATTATGTTTACAAGGTTTGTAAATTGTTTTAAGACAAGATGAATTAAATTGTAAACTCAGCTTTGCAATTTTGAACTGTAAAGGACTGAGGTCTAAGAGTCAGACTTCTATCATTTTAAATTGCTGAATGGTGCTTGATAGCAGCCATGTGCTTTTCTCAGGTATGAATAGAAGTTTTGAAACAATGTCATATTATACTACAGGCATGCACTTATTTGGTAAAAACAACACCACAGACCCGCATAACACAGGAACTTAGAACATAAGAAAAAGCTAATTTAGATACTTCAGGTTGTCAGGTAAAATTTTAAATAAGATGAGCAGTAGAAACAATTATTTCGGTGAGTATGCATTTGCTGACCTGTGCTGTCATAACATGCTCATAAAGATTGTGATCATTACATATGGTTTACTAAAATTCTTTGGTAAAGATGAAAAGTGGCCTGTACTTCTGTAATCCTAATCTAGATTTGCCTTAAATGTCAGCACATTTTTAAACACTTGATTTGCTGAAAAGTTCTTCACAATGTTAACAGCCTTAAGACTAATACATATGATGAATAAGTGTCCAAAAAAAAAACAAAAAAAACAAACAAGATATAATTTTTATTGTCTGTTCGTAAATGTGCATGTAACATTAATAGGTTAAAGCAATTCTCTGATCTTGCTAGGTTTTTATCACACCTTTTCAAGCTGTAAATGTCATCTTTTCAAAATGAAACTGTAATTAAGAGGTGAATTTACCAAATAATTATGCTTGCATTGAATGTAAGTTATTTCTGGTGTTTGTGTAACATGATTATTTGATTCGCAGGGAGTATATTAACAAGCTTCATAATTTTGTAGAAGAATGTGTTCACAGATTTTCATTTTTTTAAATATATGAGTATTTTCTGACAATATTGTATATAGATAATTTAAATGCACATGAAAGTCAGTGGTGGAGAATAAAGAACATTTAAAAGCAATATAAAAATCTCTTTGGGTGAATTTTCACACTGACAAATTTGCAGCAATTGTTATAGAATAACACAAGAGTTAAAAGATTTGAATCATCTTGTTTTTAATCATCTGATGAATAATACATTGTAAAATGATATAAAAAGCTCACTTGTTGCTGATATTGTAGTTCACTTGTGTAGTTGTACATATGAAGTTATAAAAAGCATTTACATAATGGCAAGCTCTGTGAGCTTTACCTTAAATGTGCCATGTTGAATAGGTAGCTTAATGTAGAATGTGGAGAAAGGCACTGGAAGACGTATATCACTTTATATTAATGATACACTTATTGTTCAAAGCAACAGTTATTTCATCGTCAATATCTGTCTCAGTTTCAATTTTGTATAAAAAAGTGAAGTTAGCATAGTTCATGTGATTATAGAGAACATACTGCATGTTGTACAGTTTGTTCATTGCCGCAGCATAATGCTGTATAATTTTTTGTAGAAGCAAATAAAAAGCAAAACTTAATACAGTAAGTTTGAAATGTCTACGGTAGGATACAGTTTGGTACAAACACATTTTCAAGAATTATTTAACAATTTCTCGCTACTTAAACCATCACCCTATTGACCAGTAAATAATTGCTTTTTTACACATTGGATTTTTTTATTGTGGCGCACTTAGTAGACATTATTTTGGCAGGGGCTGGTATTTTCTCTATTTAAAAGGAAAAGTAGATCTCCCTCGAACAGACTTAAAAGGATGAAAAAAAACCATCACCAGTCATCTAAAAGCTTAAGCATGTGCACCTTCCCCGCTTCTGCTGCTTCTTTTACAAACCCTTCGCCATATAAATATACAAAATATATTGAGCAAAGTTGTATAAACTTGCTGACGTGGGTTTTTGAAACCCTTGAATATCATTCGTATCATCGTAGGTTAAAAAAGTTCCAGTACTAGGCAACTTAACTTGATAAAGTGTAGTTGGAGCGTTGGAATCTGTGTATTTATCTTGCTCATTCTAAACTGTCACACACATCACGTGCGCTTGATCATTAAAGTGACGTTGGGAAGAATAAGGAGGAGAACCGCCGCTTAAACCTCATGAAACCTCGGGGCTCCAAGTATGAAGTTATACAAAACGACCTTAGACTCATTATATGGCAATGAAATGGGGGATTTTCTCCGGCAAGAGAGTGCGATACGGAACCGCAAGTTTTCTGTTGCGAACATGAATAGCACTGGATAACTTCTTCAAATCCCCCTGGAAATTGTCCACCGCCTTTCTCGGCCCAGGCTCGGTGAAACTGTACTCTGGATAATTCCCAAGCAGCACCTAGTATTTTAAGAAGAAAAAAAAACAATCATAAACACAAAAATTGTGACTGTTGAATAAGGCCAATTACGTGTAAAAGGAAATAAGTCTGGACGTGAAGGAATCTTCATTTATGTTTTCGTCAACATTGAGCTAATAAAACGTAATTCGAGTCTTATCATTTTATGATTAGCCATCGTCATGCAATATCTACACCGTTAAAAATAAAAAAAGTTTTCTTTTTCATGGGTCTAACATGCTTAAGTTAACACATTATAAACGATAACATGAAATGGTACCAGTAGACGATTGACACTCACTTCACCCCCTTCGTGCCGAGACATCGCGTACGCAACAGCAATGGAGAACGCGGTCTGTCGTCTGGTTGGCAACATTTCTACGATCGACTTCATGGTGACGACACCCTTTTCCTTAGGTGGTGGTCTGTTCATTGTGGAAGGCATATTGGGAGCAAACGTATTGTAATCATACTGTGAATAATTGAGGGCTGCGTACTGACCAGTTGCCGTAAAGATCACACTGGTCAGTATCTCAGATAATTCTTCCAAGCTACTGATCTTGTCAGGGAACCCGTGGTCGATATTTTCTTCCCAGTTAAGGAATCCCTTGGAGTGGCATTCATCGATCCAAGCTTGGATTTCTTCATCCCCAGCGACGTCTGAGTCGCAGTGGTAGAAAAGTGAGATCATCTTTTCTACAAACTGCCGGATTACCTGCCAGAGGGCCAACGCATCGTCGCGGTAGTGATAATTGGGTAGAACTGCTGGGTCGTCAACACCACGGGTCTCCAGATCCAGCGGCAGGTTCAAAATCTTGAAGGTGAATTTCTTGTAGGTTTTCTTCAACAGGGCGATGTGTCCCCCGTCAGCAATTGCTAGAAATTCATTGTACCCCGCTCCAAAGACCTGGCGATCCATCACATTGATTCCAATGGCGGTCTTAAGATGGGACTGCAGTAGCTGATACACGGGGTGAGCCACAGACAAGCAACGGTTCAATGCCACCGCAATTGGTTCCAACATTAACCTGCACATCATCCTGCCAACAATTTGATGGTACTGGTAGTGGGCGCACTTCACCCAAATTTTAGCACACAGCCAGTCCATCGGGCTGTCGTTGGGGGTCCAAATCAGCTCATGGCTGTCGGAGGACTGTTGAAGACGTATTGCGATTGGAACCAAAGCTCCGTCAGAGCGTACGTACAGGAGGCAGGTGGCTTCTGCTACGTAACGGTCTGGATAACGCAGCACTGTTTGCAGGTCTGGATACTCCACCATGAAGATAGTCCCTTCCTGGATGAAATATAAATTGTATAAGTTTGAAAACTTATAGAAACGAGTATTGCTTTGAGTTTTAGTATTTTGTAAATATACTGACATCTCAGTTTTAACTTTCTTTCTTAATCGAAACATTAACTGTGTATGTGGTAAGTACAATCGTGCCCTATTTTTAACATTAATTAATATTTCACCTGGATTTCTTCTCCCAAAGTGTGTCCCCTATCAAGTACACCAACAAGAGCGTCATCTGGCACAACGAAGTTAGGTGGAAGACTTGCCAACCGACGAATGAGCGTTGGATACGTTCCATCCAACATCTGCCGCCCAAATTCTTTATCTTCAGTCCAATGCTCCATAACATAGTCCATGGTATCAGTCTTCTCCAAAAGCCTATTCACCATGGTTTTAAAGTCGTCAGTGTGCTTCCATTCACTAATCAGAGATGCCAGGCGCCCCAGTTGGAGGTTGAGGAACCCAGCGTTCAGGTTGTGCCAGAAGTGTTTTATACGTTCCTCAGGTATTTGGGCATCTCTAGGCAGATGTTTCATTTCTTTCACAGCGATCCGCCCTGGGAGGTTGTCTTCATTGTGCCCTTCAACCTGAGCGACATAAACTTGATTAAAGTAAACTTTATATGTCATACATATATCCCTCCACCATTTCCAATAGGATAAATGTCGCTTTTCTTTACCGCAAAGAACACATTCGTATTCTATGCAGCTTCTTCCTTCTTTCCCACGAAGAAACTGGCGAAGGTAACGTAGTAGTCATGAGAATAATAACAACAATTAAAAAATATGTTTCTCCCAACTAATACATTTAGAAGTCATGCAATATTGACATTGGATTTCCCACCTGAGTTTTGACCACGGTCTTTGAATCTGCCCAGCGATACTGCTCTTTCTTCTTCTGAAGCTCCCACTTGCGGACTACCGCAAGCTTGGTGTATTGTTCCATCTGAGGCAGAGACACTTTAAAAAGAGAAAATTTCATGAAAACACCAATACTAATCCAAAATGAAATTCATTGGTTGCCAATGGTTCAGGGGTGACATTGGTTCTTAATCGCATCTTGATGAAGAGTACTTGTATACTGTCAGAGTGTGTGTGTGTGTGTGTGTGTGTGTGTGTGTGTGTGTATTTTTCTACGTGATATTAGGGTATTCTTAAAAGATATACCTTACCTGCCGGATCTGGTCTTAGAACCATGGTTTTGTTATCGTCAGTGAACCAAGCAAAGCAAGGAAAAACATAAGTTTCGTTCCTTTCCAAGCAAGTCACTAAAAGTCGGTTGAGGTACCAATCACTGGACAACCGATGACGGATGTCAACTTGTATTGCAATCAAGTTGCCTATCGACCGGTCTTTGACAAGGTGCACATGAAGTCCTGACGTCAGGTAAACGTTGCTGAGTGTGTGTCGGCCTGTGCGTCTGGTTTTACCTGGAAAGGGAAGCTTTTGTAAGCAACTACGGGCTGGGCACCGCTTTAAAAAACTTGGCGTACCGATTCGACTCGGCCCTGCAATATGCCTGAGATGATATATTTACAATGGCGCAAAAGGCTGTCTTTATACCATACGTACCTTGAAGTGTTATCTGTACTGACGAAAGGGTACCGGAACGGCTCTGTTGTCCGGACTCCAACGTGATAACGTAGGAGGAAACTTTCTCCTCAGGGTCTTGAAGCACTTGTCGACGCTGCATCCGTGTCTGGTGACATTCATACATAATTTGAAGTGCTTTGTTGGCGGACTTGAAATCAAAAACAGATTTCGCCTCAGGAAATGAGAGGATATCGGGCCTGTTGTCTATGTTGAAGTCCATCTTGTCGGTGAATTGAGCAGGGAGAATTCCTGTTACAAAGACGTCCGCCACATTGCGCCATGGATGGGTTACGGGGTCCCATAGCTCACATGGGTTGTAGCCGGAAAGCTCGGCCACATCATGAAGCTGTACCTGTACACATATTGAGAGATGTGGGTGACTGAATGACGGCTAACTTAAATCATTGCTTACAAGTAGATCAGTGTATATCTGAAATCTTCTTAATTAAAAGGCAGATCACATGCAGTTATCACTTTACTTAAGCAATATTAATTATAGCTATGAACAGCCAACAACTGAACAGCTTCAAATTTTCAAAGTAATTATCAGCTGAGCCGAAATCTCTGCATATTACAGAATGTTTCGGAATGTCAAGTTGTGGGCCTTCTCCTTAGTTTGTGAATTAAAAGTTTAGACCACTACCTGTAGAATCCACCTCACAGCACCGTGCTTCTCAACCTGAGACTCGTATTCCTCACTCAGGTAGCTCTCACGATTACCAATATCTGAATGTCTTTCTCTGACCCTGAATATACAATGTTCAATAAAATGAATCATGGGAATTATGAAAAGCAATTTTTATTTGGTTCGATATAAAACGTTAGGGAAAGTAAACCACAATAGTTCTTACTACTTTGTTTCGAAATGGTGAAAAGTGGTTTTTATTATCGTCGATTTGGCTTTGCTGTTAGAGATTTTTTTATCACGCTTGCTGAAAATATTCCAAGAGAAGATAACTTTTGTGATTTTGATAACGTCAAATTAGAAGATACATCAACCAACAAAATCGTTAGTCTTTTATTATAATTCCATGTTCTTATTTCAAGATAAATTCAAATTTGTGAAATGATGAACGGGCCATTGTAGCCTATGGTGTTTTAGGTAGGTGGACATGGTTTGAAATAATAACATTTAACATTTTTAACAAGAGTGAAGCCGATAGATTAAATATCGAAATATACGACCTTACCAAGCTTGCTTTTGCTGCTGTTCGTTAAGAAGCCCACTTTCTGAAACGTCCGCGGCGGGAACCAGTCGAAACCGAACCAATTCGGTGCTTTCGTCAGAAAACGTCATGTGATAGGTGAAGTGGTTGTAATAAACCTGGGATGAATATGAAGTCGGTGCGCGTCTCATACCGTCTACAGCTGCCCAATAACTGCATGCGAAAGATACGGAGTACATGAAAGCATATAACGCACATGAAAAAAAAATGACAGGAGAAGTGTACGGTATGGGCACTTGAAACAAAGTCTGACACACACACACACAAGGGAAATCAAGTGAAATAAAAAAATGCTAATTTACGAACAAAATAATCCGCATTATTTCAAAAAATATAAATATCATAGAAGTAGCAAAATGTTTTTATAACTCTATGATAATCTATATAGCAGTAAGGCGATATATCTACCCTAAACAATATAATATCAAAGTGATGAAAAACTGCCAAAAAGCGTCAGAAAAAAAGATGTATAGTGATATCTAGCATCAACTCACTTGATGGGTCGCTCAAACAACCATTTCCTAAACCCGTCCTCTTGTTTTCCTAGAGCTCCGTCCAGCTTTTCTAATTCGGCCAAGTTGTAGAATAAAGGCATTCGACCTGTTGAGAAAATCAAATCAAGAGGCCCTCCGCCGTCCTCATCAGCAAACTTCAAACTTGCCAAGCGAAAGTCGCAACTTGCATCGTCGTCTGTGAACAGATTTGCATGGCGCATGCGTATGGGGAACACCTTTCCCGGTTTGAAGAAATCGTTTTCTGGTATATTGAGATTCTTTGTGTAGTAGAAAGGAAAAAAAGAAAAATGTAAACTAGTTTTTTCATTAGAAATAATTTAAATAACGTTGCTAAATTGTTTTCGATATTCCTTGGATAGAATGAGTTTTAGTTCCATAACACACAGATTTTTACCTCGGATAAAACAGCGAACCCCGCTCCTCCAACGCTAGAATGATAGGCGAATGAGCCGTTCCCCTTTATGGAATCTAGACCAAAAAGGTTCCTGATCTTGGTAGACTTCCATGACAACTTCAAACCGCTCAACCAAGTCGGAGTATTGTAACCGTCCTACAATTTTATTTATATATATTATTCATATTGTAATGTATAAACATAAGAAAACTTGTGCTTTGTCTTCTGTTAATATTAAAAACAAAAAGTGAATAGGTACAACAGAACCTTATGGCACAGGGGGCAAGTTTTAGATGGGGTTTAAAACATATTTCAAGTGAAAAGGCAGGTACATTTTGCAAATTACTTTATAAAGTAATTACAAAGTAAATTACTTTCATGCATGGTACATCTACTGACCTTCAACGTGCTTTGTAAAGGCCTTCATAATTAACAAAAAAAAATTCTAATGAGCCTACATCTGTCATTTACGTTACATTTCTTGTTCATAAATTTGATCATTTTCAGCATGGCCATGATAGAACGTAAACTTTTGGCCTATCGTCTGATGTCATCGTGAAATATTCACGAGACTTAAAATAAAGCTAATGCGGGCCCTGCTTACTGCAATGTGGATTTAGGTTTAATTTCCGATTTGTATTTGATCAGACTATATACTCCTCTTATTTACAGCACTCGATTTTCCATAATAGGCATATAGACGGCCTTATGATATGCAGTAAATTGATATTTTCAATACTATAATACATCTCTTTATGTTCATTATGCATCATTGTTTAAAGGGAAATTGCTGCAAATGCGATGTATGATCTTCTCGCCATGACTGTCAAGGTTACAAGGCAGATGAACAAACAGAAGCTGGTGAAATTTGCTTAGCTGACCTAGAGGACACGTTCTAATAATTCTTGAAATGTCAGAGGAAAGAATTCTATGGAGGCAGTGACCTCGGCATCTTGTTATCTATTTGTAATAGTGTATCTTATAATCTTATGAAAAGCTCGAAATGGTTCTTTATACTTGGCTGGATTTTTTTTTTGTTAAATTTGTATATGTGTATCGAATGCCTGCGTGCACTGAATGTCGCCTGGGTCGACTAGTAAATGAAGCATTGATGTTGCAAAGGTAGGCCTACATCAAGCAAAACCTGTTCTTATTGCAGTGAACATATCCACTGTGACAAAAGACAACTATACGACGTACCCAACTGCCTCGCGACAAAAGTGTGCAAAGCCAAACACATAATTACATTAAAAAAAACTACACGTGTTAAGCTTGACAACAAGAATAATGACAAATAATAATCTCAGCACGGAGGAAGGCATATACTTATGGCATCAACCGCCAGCATGAACCTGTCAAACCTCAGTGCATATGATATATGATATTTCTTAAACATAGCACAGGTGCTTCAAGAGTACAATTCACGGTACTATTCGCGGTAAAAATGTTACAGATCTCACCTAACCTAGATCTTGTAAAAAACAAAATACCTGAAACTGCTTGGCTAATCTTCTCTCAAAATCTTCCTTTCCTAAGTGTTCCTCGACAATGTTGTATGCTCTGTTTTGCCACTGCTCGTGGCTTCCGTAAGGGGGGCCAAAGTAACCTTCGTGGGGTGCAGGAATGGTCGTCTCCATCGCTGTAAATTTCTTAAGTTTGCTTCAATTATTGTACTTATGTCCCCGGTGCCACTTCAGACGGTACACTAGAGGCGCAATACACACATATATATATATATATATATTCACTCATAAATATATATCAGTCATGTGACTGTATGCACTACGTTTTCCCTCTTAGCTTGTCTCCGTCACGGTTGGGAGTCAAAGGACAACGAAGACTGCCCAATGGACGTTTTAACAAACGAGGCACCGCACACGCTATGAATCCTCGACAGCAATAAAGTGAAAAAGTGTTTACTTACAATATTGGATATTAACGGCCACCATGCATAACAAATGTCGAGTAGTGTCCTATTTCACTAGCTGACATTGCAAAACAAGGTTAATGTCCCAGTTCCAGTGTCTCTATAATAATTGGTTCTTATCGAAATTATCCCATAAAATGTAAGGGAGAACAGATGCCACTTAAAAGTTATAATGATTTTGACAATTCCGCAAAAAGGATTAGATTAATAAGGGCTTATAAAAATTACATTAAGGCTCGCTTTCGTATTAACCCACTTATAAGAAAAAAAAATGGAATAACTGTCGCCTGAACATGACCTGAACTCACTTTGATAAGAATACTTTTGCCTGTTGATGACCGTTTGATGCTAAATCGAGAATATAAAAACCGTTTACATATCCTTAATAGCATTTAGACGATTCCAACTGATACATATCTTTTTCGTTTATTTTTGTCAGTATGAAGCGTGCACAACTCTTTTGCGTTATTTTCTATAGGTCTATAACAAGGGTGATATTTAGAAGTGAAGGACCACGCCTTATTCATATGTCACACCCAAACATGGCTACTGGCGTATACAGCTGCTTATTCAAAGATAAGGTTTCTAGCGATAAAAATTAAGAGCAAATGGCCTTCTAGGAGAAAGCTTTTCGGAATTATAAGGCCTCGTTTCACTAGATGTTCGGATCAAAGAACTTTCAGAGTAAAAAAAAAAAAAAAAAAAAAAAAACGCCCAAGATAATCGTTAGGCCTATTCGGATTCTGGCTAGGGTTCTTTTAACGACTTCAAATCGTTGTTTGTTTGGCTTTGATGTGTTTTGACTTGGTTTTCTTGATGATATAAAAATATTATAAACACACCTAAAGATCGAGGTGCAGAAATAAGAATAAATCAGATGTGAGATGAGAGGTAAAGCATGCATATCAATTTTATAACTGGTGAAAAGCATTTACGTTAGTGACTTAAATCCTTCTTTTTAATAAATTTCATCAAAAAAAAAAAAAATAAATAAATAAGCGAAATGTACCAAAATTAATTCAGGCCACACTTTTTTAATTTTATGGATGACATCCTGCGCGCGCACGGATTTTCGCCCGTTCTCC